TCAGTTAATTCAAGTAATAAAAGAAGACCATTGGGAACAAGTAGATGGCGAAGATTTATTAATGATCTCATCAAATCTTCACAATCCTGTACTTTATTTGCAGCAAACACAATATCGAACGATTCGAATGGAATTTTCTCAAGGATTTCATTGTTAAACAAGTCAATTGTTTGATCGTATATTATATTTAAATGAGTTTGATCAGCTAGATGTGTCTCAAACAGTTGTTCAGCTTGTGCGAGATGTACTGGATTCATATCCGAATAATGTAAGTCTATCCATAAACCTGTTTGACGAGATAAATTAAGTAAAAGATGAAGAACAGGTAGAACGTCCAAATGTTCGCCACTAGCATACCAAAATATACGTAATCGTCTATCGCTGAGTGATCCATGGCTACTCTCATAATGTAAGATGTGAAGATGTTGACATATTGCATGAAATATCTGTTGTATTTTATTTCCGCTGATAATCGTTTGTATTTGTTGCAATGTTTGTTCAGTGTCGTTGTTTCCAAAGAATACGTCGAATCCATTCTGTTGTCCACAAAAAATATCTTTCAGACGTGAACCATATGTGTCCAGTGAGATCAGAAGTGGTTTGAGACGAGGAAAACGATCAAATAAATGTCTAAAACGAAGTTGTATAAAATGTAATGTTATTGGTTCATGTAAAATAGTAACAAGAGAGTGGCATGCATTTAATAAAGGACCAAGCAGATTATTGACAAGATTTTGATCGAGATCTTTTATTGCTATTTGAGCATAACATGCAGCTAATTCGTTAAATGGTTCAATTGAGTCAATCAAATCTCGATTACTAACAACATCGATTCCACCATTACGAAACTGATCAAGTGATGGAAGTAAGTCAGCTGCACTTGTTATTATTGGTGAATCTACCCATATTCTTTCCATACAATAATCTCGTATAATTGTATCTAATTGCTCACAACGATCTACATTAGGCAAATCAATACCTGAATTTAATTTATCAAAAACAGACTTTTCTAATCTCCATCGACCAGATTGTACACCTTGAACTTCTTGATATGTAAGACCTTCAAAAATGAACATCGGTTCATTGATTGTCTTGTCGTCACTAGGTAGAATCAATAAGTCACAAGTATATGTTCGCTCTTGACTTAGGCCACAAATGGTATCATGATAATTTCCATGCAGTTCAACATTTGAGTAGGATGTGTTCACTCTGTTTGTAACAATAAATTTGTAGATACTAACCGGAAGTACTGTAAAATCAACACCAGGTAACAAAAGTACAGGTGACTGCAAAAAAGTATCTACTATAGTTGGATGAAGCAAATGATAACACGAAAGATCAATAATTGTATCAAGATTACTCTGGATTTGAGCAATAATTGTACATGTCGTACCACATAATGATTGTATGTTTCGAAAAGAAGGTCCATATTGATAACCTCGTGTTAACAAATGTGTATAAATACTGTTTGCATCAGTCGTGGACCATGTATTGTAAGCTGGATTGGTAGAAAGTAATGTTGTTGATTTTTGTTGAACACCAGCCATCTCAATATAACCATGAGCATGTAGAGTGAATTCACGTAATGAATATTGATTGAGAGTTTGAGGATCGATAAAAGAATCGACAACATCAACGCTTGCTATGCCTGATGAACGCATACAATCTGAACCAGCTGATGTCCATGGTCGACTGTAGACAAACCATTCACGAACTGGTATGACAATTTGTGTGAACACTTCTGTTAACTCATGTTCACTAAGAGTGAGAGCTCTGACAAATTTGATTTGTTTCAAAACAAGTGAAGATTGTTTATTATCTGATGATAGAAATAATTGGTGGCAAGCAGCTGTCACAAGTTCAAGATAAGCAACAGCAGGGAAAAGGATTGCATTTTGAATTTTGTGATCTTTCAAATAAGCATATTGTGGTAGATTAATATTGATGAGACTCTTCCATGTAGCACTTGTTTGTCCTGTTAATTGACGGACACCAAGTAGAGGATGAATAGGAATACGATTAGCCAAACGTGTAATAACTGAATCTTTTGATTCATACCAACATGAACTAAGATCAAATGTATACAATGGAAAATCATCAAATAATTGTTCACTATCTACTGTCGGTAATATATCTCGAGTTTGAAAATATTGTTGCCAAACATGGGACGATGTCGTTAGTTGTGCGAGGCTAGTAAGTAATGTTATTTGTTCATTTTCTTTTCGTTTCAATGTTGGAAGTATAAGTGGTTGATTATTTATCGATTGGTAACATTCTTGAATAGATGTAGCCAATACTGGATGTGGTGAGAGTTCAAGAAAAACAGTTGGAGCATCATGCTGTTGAATCGATACCATAGCATCATGAAATCGAACACATTGTCTCACATTTAACCACCAATAATGAGCATCGACCGGTATCTGATCACTTAATTTATTACCAGTTACACTCGAATAGAGATTAGCTTCAGCACATTTTAGATTGAACATTAGTTGAGAGTCTTTCAGAGGAAGTCCTTGGATATCTTTAAGTGATGATAACATCTCTTTTTCTATCTCAAATCGATCCATCTGATAAGAATGAAATGCATTTTCAATACGAAGACGAGCTTTGAATACATTTGGATAGAATGTTGAGAGTGTCTGTTGTAATTCATCGATAATCTTTTCATCTCCACTTAATGTTACTGAACGAGGACTATTAACAACAGCAATACAAACAAGATGTTCAATACCCTTGAGAAGTTTATTTTGTACTTCTTCTTCACTCATGGACACGGCTAACATACGACCACCTTGTCGTGTATTACGATTCTGAAGACGTGATCGATGATAAACAATACAAACAGCTTCTTGCAAAGTGAGACGACCGGCAACAAAAGCAGCTGCCTGATCTCCGGCACTATGTGAGACAATTGTTGAAGGATAAATATTCCATGAGACAAGTAAAGCAGCGAGTCCAACTTGAATAGCAAATAAAGCTGATTGAGCAATATTTGTATCATTAATACGAGATTCGTCTTCACTTGTTTTGTCAATTAATTCTTCCAATAGATGCCATTCACCATTGTTAATCTTTGTCATTTCAGCATCGATTAATTGAATCCATCGAGTAAAAACAGGTTCACTTTCATACAATTGTCGACCCATCGCCCACCATTGAGGACCTTGTCCACTAAAAACGAAACATATATTTTCCAGTGATATTGTTGGACGCACGAATATAGAAAGACCAGGTAATGACTCTTCAGCAAGAAAGGCGTTGATTTGTTCCTGAAGTTGTTTAATATCAGCAAATACAAAGATGGCTAAGTGTGCATGACTAATAGTACGCTTTATAAGAAGTTGTTGAGAGATACGTTGAAGAAATGAATAACTATTGCACATCGCTGTTATTGATGTCTTTTGTAACCATTGATTAAATTGAGCTACTTGATTGTTTAGAGATTTACGACTTTTAGCTGAAAGAAAAAACGTAAGTATACTATTTGATCAGACAATTTATGTTTATGTAACTTACCTGAGAAGATAAAAATGAAATATTGTTTACTCACGACATCATTTTTCTGAACATGAACATGGCGATTTTCAAAATTGTTCATAGCTGAAGTTTTATTTACTTGATATTCTTCAACAATAGCGTGAACATTATTGCCTCCCATGCCAAATGAATTAACGCCCATAGCTACGGAATCAAAATTATTGCCAAAAGGAAATGGTACAGAATGTTGGACGACATGAAAATTATATCGTCGTGCTTCAATATTTGGATTTAATGATGTAAAGTGCATATTTGGTGGAATAGTTTGATGATACATACACATAGCAATCTTAATCAATCCGGCAATGCCAGCAGCTCCTTCTGTATGTCCTAAATTACTTTTAATAGAACCAATTAGTAATGGAGGATCAAAACAAGATCGATTGAAAAATTGACCTAAACAATTAGCTTCGATAGGATCACCCGTAGGTGTACCAGTGCCGTGTGCTTCAATATAAAAAATACGTCGAGGATCAAACTCTGCCCGTTTGTAAATATCATTGAGCAAACGTGTCTGACCGTCAGCTGATGGAACAGCAATATTGTTCTTATCTTCATTCCCATCATGGTTACTAAGTACATCACGAAGAACACAATATATACGATCATTATCACGTTCAGCATCACTCAGTCGTTTCAATAGTAGAAGACCAAGACCCTCGCCTAAACATAAGACTCAAGAGTGTTAACGGATGTATATGAATGTGTTATTTACCTTTCGCATAACCGTTTGCATCGACGCTAAACGATCGACTTCGTCCATCAGGTGATACAGCGCCCATGATCGAATTCCATAAAAGAGTCTCAGGCGAATAGACAGCATTCACTCCACCACATACAGCCATATCTGCTTCTTTTGTGCGAAGACTTTGCACAGCTAAATGTACAGCCTCCAGCGACGATGAACAAGCAACATCTAGTGATACATTAGGACCTTGTAAATTGAAATGATACGATAATCGAGCAGCAGCATTGTAGAGCAAACTATTTGGACCATGAAATCTCGATCGATGTTCAGGCTCCATGCGGAATGATGTTATAGCATGATCTGTGGAAAATTGTCCAATATATACGGATGTTTTTGAACCATTCATTTTCTCCATACTGTAACCAGCATCATCAAGTAAATGTACAAATTTGAGCATCAGTAGTCGATGACATGGATCAATACTACCTGCCTCGGCGTCGGACAGACCAAAGAAACTTGGTTCAAACATATCCCATTGGTTATTCGATAGGAAATACCCACGCCGAATAAGTTTCTGTCGAAATTGTCCATCATTATCTTTGTTCAACATATGAGCACAATAAGACTCGAAATCTACTCGATCACGCGGGATTGCACTGCCCACATCTCGACTGTCTCTCAATGCATGCCATAAATCGTTGGCAGAATGAATATCACCAGCAAATTCGCAGGCTATGCCTACAATAGCCACTGGTTCCAACCGATTATTGGAAGTTGGCATTGGAATTTACCAAATATCCATTAATTGGTCAACACCAGAAATAAATGAAAAATCTAAAAACGTATCATTCTAAAATGCACAAATGTCAAAGAAAATATTATATTTTAAATATAACATTCTATAACATATGAACTAGAGTAGGGATGGCACTTTATCTTTACTTTATTAAGTAAAATAAAGTGAATTACTTTACTTTACTCAGTAAAGTAAAGTAAAGTGAAGTAAAATCAGTTACTTTACTTTACTTGATAAAGTAAAGTTATTTTACTTTATCGGAAAAGTAAAATAAAGTAAAGTAAAGTTAATAAAATAAAATACCTCTACTTTGATCAGAAATTAAAATAATATGCTGTAGTTGTTCATTACCAGTTTATGGATGTATTCTGTATTGATAACATGCAGAATATTCAAAGACTATTTAAAAAAAAATGTCATTTTGCCAAGTAAAAAGACAATAACATAAAATAAAGGTTCAAGGGCACTAATTTTCATGTATTACTATTGAAAACGTCGTAACGTTTTTTGCAATATAATTGCTATTTTATTTATTCTTCACGCTAAGCAAGATATCGACAGTCTGGTTTAATATAGTTGAGTTGCGCTTGTGATAAGTAATTAACTAAATCTGTTTAGTTTGCTCATACATACTTTGTGATTGGATCACGCAAATTTGTAAGATGATGTTGTAAATTGCGAAATTTTGTTTAATCGTTTTTATAATTTATATTTGCTCAAAATAATCATTACTTAAATAAGCCAAATATCAATAGCTCTTTAAATATGTTAATAAATTGAACAAAAACAAACTTTAAAGCTTAGTGTAGTTTGAAACAACAGCTCATTAATCTTACAGGACGAATGATATGGAATTGATCAGTGATGACGCTTGAGTATTGTAGAAAAGAAGATATACATATAATATTGACATATAAATATCAACGAAGATATTATGTCGGGCTCAACTAAAGATTTCTCTTGTTTGACATCGATTATCTAAATAATTCTTTAATGATTTTATTTCGAAATAAGTATATCTTTTACGCACAGAAACAAAAAAAACGTAAACATAAAGTAAAGTTTATGTGAAAGATAATTTTATTATCAATTCATGTGGAACCATAGAGTATCTTATAGCTGTTGATGAAAGTGATGAACGAGCTTTACGATGAACGTGTCCAGCGAGACTAAATGCACTTTCACTTGGAACACTACTTGCAGGAATACAGTTGTACCGTTTAGCAAATTGTAAAAGCTGTGGTAGAATTTCTTCCTTCTGAAGCCAATATTCAGCAAAATTTGAACTTAAATGAGCTGTAGCCATATAATGGCGTAGTTCTTCTTTGAATGATAACTTCTTGTTAACAGAAGTTGTTGTTGAATTAAAAGGTAATGATATTTCACAAGCACGTAAAAATTTATTTAACGACGCTGTTTCAAGAGATTTTTTACTTGCTGATGTTGTATGAGGATTTGATGATGTTGTAAGGCGTATTACATTAGTTGTTGTTGTAGAATTATTGATTTGTAATTTTTTCATAGATTAATTAATATCAAATTCCAATAAAATAAGTTGTTCAGCTTCAGAAAGTTCATCATCATGTAATACGAGATAAGTTGCTGGATTTAAGAAAGCTGCAATCTACATTTAAAACAAAAAGAATTAAATTAGATGATCTTTACAAATACTTCTAGGAAGCAAAAGATTATTAAATTTGATATGTGAAATTATATTTTTTTGTTCTCAATCCTGAAAGGATGAGTTGGCAGGACGGAAATTAGGATGTTTGTCCGCAGGGTCAAAAAAACATCGAAAACTGGTTTTTCGAAAAAGACATTTCTAGAGGTATTTCGATGCGGGGACTTCGAATTTGAGGTCAGTTGCGTGACCATGGTTAGGGGTGGGTGGGTGAAGAGGATGGGTGTAGGTGAAAGGTCAAAAAAACATCGAAAACTGGTTTTTCGAAAAAAAGATTTCTAGAGGTTTTTCGATGCAGGGACTTTGAATCTGAGGACTATTGAGGTGTGGGTCTGGAGGGGGTGGGTGAAGACGGGTCAAAGGTCAAAAAACATCGATAACCGATTTTTCGAAAAACACATTTCTGGAGGTATTTCGATGGGAAGATTTTGAATCTGAGGATTTTTGGGTGACCGTGTGGAGGGTGGGAAGAGGGATCAAAGGTCAAAAAATATCGAAAATGATTTTTTCACAGTTTCCGTTTGTGTTTTCAGTAGATATGGAGAAAATGCATTTCTACGAGAAAGAGCTAAGCGAGTGCTCGAACGAGCGTTGCTTGTAAGCTCGATAACCTTGGTCAAACATCTAGGGATGGCGATGTCGTTGGTGACAATGTGGGTGTGGGTGGGGAACTGGGTGAATGTGAGAACCAAACGGAAGCGAGTATTTAAAAAAACGCATTTCTAGAGGTATATCAATGAAGAAAACTCGAGTCTGAAGTCTTTTTGATTAGAGAGCTTGAGGGTGTGGGTGAGAAGCTGAGTAAACGTGAGAATCTATAGAAATTGAGTTTTTGAAAAAGTGAGTGTGTGTGTGTGGAAATGTGGATGAGAATATAGAGCGGTAAAATACTCACACCCACACCGAAATCTCAAACTCGACAACCAGATCCACATATACGCCCACCTGATACCCTCTCTAACGACTGCTGTCTCAGAACACTTGATGAAGAGAACCAACTTGATACGAGAAGACAGTAAATGGGATATCAGTCGTCAAATGTAATTTACATCACCGAGTAGTCGGGAGTGGCGGCCCGAAGGGACGCCGACGACCGACTACGAGGTGAACGGACATCCCTTGACAAAAAATATAGTGCGATCACCAAAGAACATGTTGTATCTCTCCTTAAAAGAGATGGTGAAAGAGTTAAGCTTGAAATTTTATAAGCGCCAACCGATAGTTGTTAGGTGAAGGTCAATCGTCGTTAAGCGAACGTCCTCAACGAGCATTACCTGTAGATAATATGAGTTTGGTTACAGATATTAGTTGGAAAATGGGATTTACCTTAAAATCATTCTACAAAATACAAAACGTTTTTGTGTACTTTTATAATTCAAGAGAAAACATTTGCGTCTAAATCAGATATAAATTGGTAGATCGATGCTCTCAGTCTAGTATTAACAGAATATAGGTTTATCTTATACAGTCGAGGGTCAAGTGAGTCGAAGCGACGAACGTTACTTGTTTGTGGAAGGAGCTTTGCGTGACAGACTAGATGAATTCTCTTGAGCTGCGAGCGTCTTTTTTATTTACGGAAAACAAAGCATATAAATACGACGTGAATAGTGTCCCTATAATAACGATCTTCAGTTGCTTAATATCACTATATGATATGCTTAGTGATCTAAGGTTGTCGTGTTTGCAGTACATCTATTGTTCCTTTCAGGATTGAGTCGAGCGAGGTCCAAGGGACCAACGCGCTACTTGTATTTAGAAGGACTATTCTTTGCTGAATATAAATTAAAAGAGGTGTTAACGTATAGTATTAGATATTTTCATCTTCTCCTTCACTGATAGGCACGAGAAATCCTACGCTATTTTCACATTTAGAATATTAGTAAGCTGGTTGTTTGTATTAAAAATTCTAATTGCGAAAAGATTATGCTGACACTTTTATTTCATACATAACGCTTGGATCCTTTTAATTTGAAAAAAAGTATTTTTATGTAACGCATCTTCCTTTTAGATAAGTTTTTAAAGTAAGTACTGTGTTTCTATTCTTTTTAATTATCCTTTTATATACAAACCAAATCCTTCAGATAGCTATCATGCATCAAAATACTGATCGCAGACGAAGTGTATTATAAACAAGCTATCTTTTTTTAAAAAATTTCTACAATTCTTAGAAGTTTCTAAAATTTAGAACTATTATACATACCATTGTTGCACGTTTTTGTTCACAGGTCATTTGCGATTCAAAATAATGTTTGAACATAATGAGTAAAAGCTATTTCATAGAATTTTGTAATGGTTCATCAGTTTTGGTAGACATCAAGAATAATTTTAAGCCTTTTAATATATGAAAAGCAATTGATAAAGTTGGATATTTTGAACCGGATAATAATACAGTTGCTTCATAAAAAGGGCGTAAAACACATTTTAATGCTAATAAATATAGCCAATCATCACGAGAAAGTGATAAATTTCGAAGTTTTTGATATTGTATCTTTCTTAAACCAATTTCATGATTAGGTGAAAGTGTAATATCTGTAATTATTGTACTAATTGCAAGAAATCGGGAACCCATAATGTATGTAGTATTCCATCTAATACGAAAATCTAATATTACACGTTTTAATTTAATAGGTTTCTTTTTTTCTTCCTTTGCACGCCGATTTATTTCTATTTGTTTTAAATATATTTGACGGCGAACATAACGATTAAGAACAATTGATTGTCGAATAAAACCTATTAAGTTTCTAACACGCTTTAGTAAGTTAAAAATAGTCGATACTAATACATCTGCATCAGCAACTGTTGCCGAAGTTGTACGTTCATCAACTTGACTTTGATTATTTTCACCACCTTGCAATGAAGCTTGTTCTTTTTCATTTTCATGATCATCTGTATAAGTTTCATCAAATAAGTCTTCATCAGATGATGTATATGTACTAATGGATTTATTATTTGAGTTGTATTCATCAGAAACGTCACTATCATAATCATTTTCATCAACACCTTGTTTGGATACTTCATTATCATCAGTAGTAGATATTTCACTATCATCAATAGTAGATGTTTCATTATCATCGGTAGTAAATGTTTCATTATCATCATGGTTATCATAGTCTTCATAATCTTCATAGTCATTATTATCATAATGAACATAATTATCATTTTCTTCTGGAACAATTGCAACTGATGAAGATGCAGTACTATAAAAGAACAAAAAACATTTAAAGTTCTTGAAAGTTAATAATCTATTGCTGAAATTAGTTTTGTCTTCTGAATTTTATCGTGTACTAGAAAAGTTTCAAGCAAGAGAGAGCTGCCCAAGGAAAAAATTTGAAGTAAAATCGCGGTTGACCGCGGTTTTTCCATTGCACCGCGGTTTTCTTAATACATACCGCGATGTCATTTTTTAAACCGCGGTAAGCATCTGTATAACCGCGGTATGAAGTGTAGTGGTTAGTTACGGTTTCAATAAACCGCGGTGAGCATCACTATTACTGCGGTATCAAAAGTAGTGGTTAGTAATTGTTTCATAGACTGCGGTCAGCACCACTTTAACCGCGGTATCGAATGTAGCGGTTACTAACGGTTTCATATACTGCACTGAGCAACACTCTAAAGTATAATTAAGTAAAATTAAATGTGTAAGGACGTAGAGAATGTCGTGCTCCACTATTTTTAATATAATTTTCGAAATTGTCTTACTGACTCTAACTTTGTCGCTGAAAGGTGAAGTTAAATTAGAAGTTGAAAGAAAATAGAAATGAAATTGATTTTAACAATAAAAAAGCATTACATTTCTTAATTTTATTAGTTTAGGAATTAGAGTGTAGAATTCTAGTATTAAAAAAAGCATTCATCTAATCTATAATCAGTCCCTATAGCCAGAATCAGTGCGAGATGAGATTCGTTCGTTTAAGCTTTTTGACGCATACAATGTAACATATAGTACGGGAAAGACCTTTATTCAATCTAAGTGAGAATGATATTTATCGAACGAGAGCCCCTCGTAGGAAGCCAACTCTATTCAATATAACTATTTTAGAGATCTAATTATAAAAAGACATGGACGAATATATAATTCAATCATATTCTGTATTTATGTAGACAAAACTAGATAACAGATGAAGCACGATATGTCTAATTCATATACTGCGATATAAATTTAAGTCTAACGAGGGAACCGCCCCAACTGTCCAATCGCTTTTCAGTTCGGGTCTCGTGCATAAAGTAGACCCTAGTGAGGTATGAAAAACCCCAAAAGGATAAGGGCCGCTAGGCCTTCTGTCCCGAGTTATAGGCAATATACTGAAATTTTAGCCTATGACAGGGTATGTAGAAATAAATCGAATGGCGGTATTTCGACCTGAGATTTTGCCCACAGTGAGATCTATATGTGACTAGAATACCCTGAAAATTTCAGCTAAAAAGAATGTTTCCTTCTCGAGATATTAAAGTCTAAAAAACAGAAAATCCTAGTATCTTTCGTGGGATATAGGTGATTTTTTGAGACTTTAATATCTCGAGAAGGAAACATTCTTTTTAGCTGAAATTTTCAGGGTATTCTAGTCACATATAGACCTCACTGTGGGCAAAATCTCAGGTCGAAATACCGCCATTCGATTTATTTCTACATACCCTGTCATAGGCTAAAATTTCAGTATATTGCCTATAACTCGGGACAGAAGGCCTAGCGGCCCTTATCCTTTTGGGGTTTTTCATACCTCACTGGGGTCTATTTTATGCACGAGACCCGAACTGAAAAGCGATTGGACAGTTGGGGCGGTTCCCTCGTAAGCTCTTTTGCTGAAAAATATGATGAATATTCAAGAAATTTCATCCTGGCTAAACTAGTAAGACATTCACCAAACTATATATTCTTTCATTTTCTTTAATCAAAGATTCAGTGATGAGATACAGTGTGTTTTACTTTACAATATTCTTTGGTATTATTCCACCTGTCAGTATTATAAACTATCCTAATCACTCTTTAAAAATCTTTTTTTAATCTCAAATTCTACGTTGCCTCTTTTTATTAGAACACTGATAGTCAGTTACCGCAAAAACCTTTTTGTTCATATTTATGCAAGTACCACAAGTTTTAGAATATGTCGACGCTACTCTCAAAAGGTGGTGTACCAGCTTTCTTCTGATTTCTTTGTCAAAACTCTTAACTACATTTTTTGAAAATTTTCATCGATTTAGTTTTTACACTATTGACTTAGAGAACTATAAAATAAAACAACAAATATTTACTAACTTTGATGGTTTGTCAAACAGCCACAAGGCCCTTTTTACAACTAAATTCAAATGATGTGCTGTGCAGGAGATTCGCATTCCAAATTCACCACCTTGAGTAGCGGATTTAATATCAGGTCCTCCATCCGTAGTAATCGATTGAATTTTATCTAATAGATCCATTTTTTTCAATTCATTATAAAGAAAAGAACGAAACTTTTGTGCGGAATGCTTGTCAGGAAATCGACGAAATGATAAAACAAGTGATTTATTTTCTAATGATTCGGTAAAATAATGACAAGTTAAACAAATAAAATAATCATCCGTACTGTTTTTCCAAACATCAGCTGTCAAACTAACATTAGATATAGATGATAGGTGTTTTTTTTATTAATTTTCGTTTTTGTTGATATAAAAGTTCAAGATGCTTGCGGACGGTCTTCCGATGTGGCCCACGATAACCGGGCTTAATAATTGATAAAAATTTCATCATGCCAGCTTTTCTGAAATGATTAAATGGAAGTATATCTTGTACAATTGCTTCGATTGCAGCAGTATCTAATATTTGTTTTTCTTCAGCAGAAATTGTGTTATGTTTTGGTTTGTATTGAATTCTCTGTGATGGATAAAGAAAGTCCTTCATTCGATGCAATTTACCAAGGTGGCTTCGTAAGTTAGTATCGGAGTTTTCATTTGTTTTACTAAAAACCTGAAAATAAAGAAAAATGTATCTTACAATTTAGTTAAAAATCTATCGCTGAAAATTTGATAGTTATAATTTGTTCATGTTTATTTTAATAATATAAAACATTACGATAGACTGCTTATGATTAAACCATATTCAGTGAGATATTCATATTTGAAAATATAAAATAAATAATGAATCATGACAATTCTCACTGTAAAAAACGATTCCGATTTTTTAAATACATGCCAATGATTCAGTCGAATTACAAACGGCATTTAATAAAACTATTTCTAAGGCTTTACTCTGTGTTTTCAATTGAATAATAGCTACTGTTCTCTCTTGTCCCACTAAATCAGTAGTCGAATCTCGATTTTATATATTTAAAATCGAAAAAAGACAAATTTAACAACACATTTTTCTACCTAATTAACGTGTTAAAGAATGTAAAAATATAGATTCTGTGGTTCTCTTCCATTGCTTCATAATCAGTATGGACAATATAAGAGTTTTGTCTACGTATTAAACTATTCACAGTTTATATTATTTATTAAAAGTTAAGACAAGAGTTAAGATGAATCTTTCTGAAAGCATTTATTTTATTTTTACTTTTAGCCTTAAAGGTTTTCGAAACATGTTTCTTCTTCTGTATTTTCTTATTTATTAGATGACTTGCTCATTATTCAAAATCTTTGAACCAAAAGTTCATTTTCAAGGTAAGTAATTAAAAGAAAACTACTTACAAAAAATAGTACTAAATCTAACTAAGAAAGGTAAAGAGCTTAGTTGAATCTAGGCATGACCCAAACCCAAACTCATATTCAAACCGTTTGGGAGT